AGTCCCGCTGGGATGTGCAGGAGTCCTGCTGGGATGTGCAGGATGATGCAGGAGTCCCGCTGGGATGTGCAGGAGTCCTGCTGGGATGTGCAGGATGATGCAGGAGTCCTGCTGGGATGTGCAGGATGATGCAGGAGTCCCGCTGGGATGTGCAGGATGATGCAGGAACCCCGCTGGGATGTGCAGGATGATGCAGGAATCTCACTGGGATGTGCAGGATGATGCAGGAGTCCCGCTGGGATGTGCAGGAGGATGCAGGAATCTCACTGGGATGTGCCTGATGATGCAGGAATCTCGCTGGGATGTGCAGGATGATGCAGGAGTCCCGCTGGGATTGCTCCCGTGGGAGCCGAGTTTGGCTGCCCGGGTGCCCGCAGGGGCTGCCCCAGAGCTGTGCCCCATGGCACGGACAGGAGCTCTGCTGGCTCCGTGATCCCAATCCTGCCCCTCTCTCCGCAGGGAGAGCTCCCACTCAACGCCATCCAGGTGCTGTTCGAGGAGAACGACAAAAGCTCCTTTTTGATCGAAGGTGGGTGCCTGGCACGGGCACGGAGGGCCTGGCACAGCCTCGGCCGTGCTGCCCCGCTTGGGAATTTGGGATCCTCCGTGTCCTGCCTGGCAGGAGAGCCTGGGGGCCACGGCAGCACCGAGGGCAGGGCATTCCCTACACCAACACCTCCCCATCCCATGGAGCTGGGGCGGGGTGGAGCAGCAGGGTTCCCGAGGGTTCCCGAGGGATCCAGCCCGGGATCGGCAGCGCGGGGATGTTTTTCCAGGCCGGCTGATAAACTCCATCCGGGTGACCTGTCCCAGCTACCAGGACTACCAGGAGTGGCTCTACTGCCTGAAAACCGCGCAGTTCCGAAACGCAGACTCCTCCCTCTCGGGCTCCGAGAGCTTCTCGGGGCCAAAGCCGCCGCAGGCCGGGCAGGTGAGGATGCCGGAGCACCCCGTGTCCCGCGTGTGACACCCCGGTGGCACTCAGCTCGGAGCTGTCAGCAGGCTGCTGATCCCTGGAAATGATTGAAAGCGCTGCAGGACTTTGGAGAGGCAGAAATGACATTGAATTCCCTGGAAAGCAGAGGCTGGGCACGGCCTGGGGCAGGTTTGGGTGGCGAGGCACTGGCACAAGGACAGCGGTGCCTTCTGCACTCAGTGATCCCTGTGGGTCCCTTCCAAGCTGGAATATTCTGTGATTCCTGCAAGGAACGGGTGACACCTCTGCCAGCTGGGACAGGGCTGCTGCCTGGCGCCCTTTTCCTGCTGGGCACTGCCTCATTCCCCTCACTCACCCCAAAACCAGCACATCCCACACCCCAGCACGGCCACCGGGCCACTGCTGGCCCTGGGGACACGGCCCAGACAGCGGGGACACGAGGATCCCCCACGGATGTCCCAGGGATGCCCCCACGGATGTCCCAGGGATGTCCCCATGGATGTCCCAGGGATGTCCCAAGGATGTCCCCACAGATGTCCCCATGGATGTCCCCAAGGATGTTTCCAGGGGTGTCCCTAGGGATGTCCCCACAGCTGTCCCAAGGATGTCCCCATGGATGTCCCCAAGGATGTCCCAGGGATGTCCCAAGGATGTCCCAGGGATGTCCCCACAGATGTCCCAGGGATGTCCCCACAGATGTCCCCACAGATGTCCTTGTCCCCCCGCAGTTCCCCAGCAGTGGCAGAGGGTCCCTCAGCTCGGATGGCCGGACGAACTCCTGGGCGTCGGGAGGGAGAGTGACCACGCTGACACAGCTGTCCCAGGCCAGCGGCTCCCTGCCCGACGGCCACTCCCTCCTGCTGGGCACCGAGGGCCGGCTGCTGGAGGAGCCGCTGTCCCCTGGCTACTCCCAGCCCCTCCATGTGAGTGAACCCCAGAGAGCTGTGGGGATCCCCCTGGGACGGGGCCGGACGCTGCCCTTGGTGTTTGCTGTGGGCTTGGGGCAAATCCCTGCCTGGAGCCTGGAGGCTCAGCTTGGTCAGGGAAAGACTGACCCAGGATCAGAGATCCCAGTGCCATCCCAGTGCCATCCCAGTGCCATCCCAGTGCCATCCCAGTGCCATCCCAGTCCCATCCCATCCCAGTGCCATCCCAGTGCCATCCCAGTGCCATCCCAGTCCCATCCCAGTGCCATCCCAGTGCCATCCCAGTGCCATCCCAGTCCCATTCCCAGTCCCATTCCCAGTCCCATCCCAGTCCCAGTCCCATTCCCAGTCCCATTACAGTCCCTTCCCATTCCCAGTCCCATTCCCAGTCCCATCCCTGTACTGGTGCTGTTGGGGATTACAAAAGGACAGACAGGAGGTTCAGAGGCTGGGAAATCCCAAAACCAAAGCTGCAGGGGGGTGGAGGAGATGGCCAGGCAGGGTTTTTGCTCTGACCCTGGGCAGGAATCGCACGTCCAGGGCTGTCAGAGCGTGTGGGGCAGGGTCCAGGGAGGGCCTGGGGCGATTCCCGAGCCTGGAGTGATGGCCATGTGCCCTCCCAGCCCGAGGAGAGCCAGCTCCAGGGTCTGTCCTCTCATTCCCGAGCCCGGAGTGATGGCCATGTGCACTCCCAGCCCGAGGAGAGCCAGCTCCAGGGTCTGTCCTCTCATTCCAGAGCCTGGCACAGCCCAGCTGGCCCAGCTCAGCGCTGCCCACGCAGGAGCTGCGCAGGGGGAACAGCGCCAG